GATTTTGATGAGAGAATAACATTCAAGAGGAAAGATGTCCCATTATATGTCTGAGGGAAAAGTGTTAGCAACTTTATATCAAATAAAACAAAAGGAAATTTAGAGTAATGTCAGGAAAACGAGGAAAAATAAAAGAGGAGGTAAGAAATAAGAGACTACGATGAACAATTATTTGCCAAAAAATTGGATTATATAGAAGAAATGGATAAATTCCAGGAAACATACACTCTAACTAGACTAAACCATGAAGAAATACATCTGAGCCAGGCATGGTGACACACAGCTGTAGTCCCAGCTACTCGGGAGGCTGAGGTGGGAGGATAGCTTGAGCCCAGAAATTTGAGGCTGTAGTGAGCTACTACCTCACCACTATACTTCAGTCTGGGTCACAGAGTGAGACCTCATCTCTAAAAAAATAAAAACATAAGGCATAGAAAATTTGAAGAAACTGATAACTAGTAAGGTGTTCGAATTGGTAATCAAAAACCTCGGAACGAAGAAAAGCCCAGGACTTAACGAATTCACTGCTCAATTCTACCTAACATTTAAAGGAGAGCTAACAACAATGTTTCTCAAACTGTTCAAAAAAGTGGAAAATGTGGCTAAATGTGGTGACTCACAGCAATAATCCCTGCACTTTGGGAGGCAAAAGTGGGAGGATCACTTGAGGCCAGAAGTTTGAGACTCCTCTGACCAACATAGTGAGACCCTGTCTCTACAATAATAATAATAATTAATTAACCAGGTGTAGTGCATGCCTGTGGTCCTAGGTTCTCAGAAGGCTGACTTAGGAGAATTGCTTGAGCCCAGGAGCTTCAACCTGGGAGACGGAGCTTGCAGAGAGCGGAGATCGCACCACTGCACTCCAGCCTGGGCCACAGAGCAAGACTCTGTCTCAAAAAAAAAAAGGAAAGAAAAAGAAAAAAAGAAAAGATATAGTACTGAAAACAGAATCATGCTGGTAAAAACAGACATGGTGTTTAATGAAACAAATTAGATACTCTGCAAATAAATCGATATATGTGTTCTTCCACAAAGGTAACCGAAAGGCACATTGAAGAAAGAACAGTCTCTTCAATAAATGGTATTGGGGTAACTGCCTATCCACATGCAGAAAAATGAAATTGGACCCTCATCTTACACCATTAACAACAATATAATCAAAATGGATTTTATATATGTATAATATATAATATACAACAAATATATATGTATAATATATATTTTATATATAATATGCATAACCCCTATATATAGTGGTTTTATATGTGTATTACACATATACCCCATATATAGGGGTTATATATTTTACATATATAATATATAGTATATGCATATATAATACATATTACACGTATATTTTATATTTGTATAAAATATATATGTATTATATAATGGATTGTATATTGTAGGTATATGCATATATATGTGAAAAAAGAGATATATACATATAAATAAATTTTTGGAGTAAACATTAGTATTTGGTTCTGAGATTAATTTGTAATGCAGTGCTGAAAGAGACCAAAATTTTTGTTGCCTCTAAGTATTCAGCAATATATTGTTTGATTAGAACACACAACAAAGAATTAATTCTTAAGCCCATATCTCATACACCCACCCACACACATACACTCACACCCACAAGCCTGCCCTCTGTAAACTAGAAAGAACCAAGTTAGTGAGACTTTATTTATCTGACAAGTCAGCTCTTCTCAAATAGTCAAACTGATTGTGTATAAGGATCCAACTTTGTGTTTAAACCTCTAAAACAAAAGTGGTTCTCATTTATGTTTGAGAGAGTATTGAACCAAAATTAAGAAACTTATTTCCCTACCATGATCTCATTAAGATTTCTGAGAAGACTACGCTATCACTACTCGAAGAGAAAGTTTCTTGTAATGAACCCTTAGGGAACTGACCGCTCCACATCATCTTCCCGTAATTGCACTTTCTTGTCCATTTGTGCTCTTGCCTATGGTTTCCAATGACAGACTTGACTGCAAAATTATTTAGTTTTGTATGACCCCATATTATCGGCAGTCAGTCAAATATTTATTTTTGATGCGGAGTGAAATTTGGTCTAACCAAAAGTGAGAATGAATTAATGAGATCAAGTGGAAAATTTAGTCAAACTCAGGTTGTTTCCCAAAGGTTTTAACCGAGATTATTATACAAGAAATTAAAGTTTCTTTCACTAGGCCAGAAAAGTAACAAACAATGGGGATTGCTAGAAAATAGACAACTTTTATACTCTGGGGGTTTTATTTAGAAAAAACTCAGCATTAGGCATTCAATTAAAATGGATGGGATACAGGCCTGTTATGATTCTCTAGGAGAAAAAAAAAAACCTCAATATTGGTAACTATTGATTTATACCAAACTGGGATTCCTAGTTCACAACTAATTATCTGATGCTACTTCAAATTCATTTCAGGCTGGCTGGGCACAGTGGCTCACGCCTGAAATCCTAGCACTTTGGGAGGCCGAGGCAGGCGGATCACCTGAGGTCAGGAGTTTGAGAGCACCCTGGGCGACATAGGGAGCCCCTGTCTCTAAAACATGAAAATAAAAATAAAAATAAATTATTTCACCCAATAGAGTGTTATTAAAACAATAACAGAAAGGAACACAGTGGTTTTACTGCATATATGTGGGCTCTAGATTTACTTAACTGCTACCACAATCTTACACAATAGTTTTACATTATTTGTGGACTATAAATGAGAACAATAAAATGATCAATGTGACCAATGTGCTACAAACTAAAGGTAGTCTGGTCATCAAATTCGAGTTAAGTAGAATGGGCCCCAGTGTTTACAAAGTTTGGTTTGAGGAAGGATTTTATTCAGCCCTTCTGATTCTATACACAGTGTCCCTTCCCTTTCACACTATTTTTTGGGCTGGTTCACCGGCTGGAGCAATGATTATGAGAGCAAGATACGATGCCAGTGGATAATTGTGCTTGTAAGCTGGCAATGCTTTAGATCACAGAGATAGTGTAGCTTTCAACAAAAGTCACTAAGATGTGGTCATTGCACAATGAACATGTACAATTTGGGTCACACGCACAAAAAACATTCACATGCACGTTTGTAGAAAGTTGCAATGGAGAAACAGACATTGTAGGTAACATTATAAATTAGGTGCTTACTGTCTCACTCCACAGAAGATTTGATTCTTCTTCTTTTTTTCTCATATGGCATTGTATATCAGAATACAATAAGATTTTATGACAGAGTAATGAATCCACATTCTTGGAGAGTTTGACGTGAGATTTCTTTACAAAAAGAGGCCATCCATAGAAGGGAGGGCTGCATCATCTAAACACAGGTATGCATGCATCAGTTAAGACATTCGGTTCTCTGAGCCTCATCATCTGCCATGTGCTCAGGAGCTCTAAATTATTCCAACGGCACTCCTTAGCCTTAGAAAGAGGAATCTCCACTTCCACGGGAGCATCAGCTCCCAGCAGTGATCAGTGAAGACAGTCTGAAAAGTTATTTACATATTTCTTTTTTCAGTAAAATTGTAAAATCCAGTAGAGAATTGTTCTCACTCAGTAGCAGATTGAAACTGATAGCACCTCGTGTGATTACGCCTTTACTATGTTTTAGATGTATTATTTATGTGTTAATCTTGACAACAACCTATATATTGAATTTACTGATTTTTAAACTAGGAAATTGATGTGCAGAGAGATTATTTGATAAAATAATGGACATAAGGCAGCTAAGTGGTTGAACCTGGAAAAAACTCTGCAGCCTGCCTCCAAATTCAGGAATATTAAATTAATTACTACATAGTTGCCTGAAATGCCACAGTGGTAAATATGTTGTAATCAATCTATTTAAATACATAAAAAAGTAAATACCTAAAATAATTATTAATATTTATTTCTGTGAACTACCATCCATATGGAGTAAATGAAAACTAAAGCAATTGAGAAGAACTTACTTCAATTTTAAAATTAAAAAAGCATATCATTTTCCTTAAATTATCCAAAACTTAGACAAAAGTTTAGATAAATTAGATAAAGTGCTCTACACTCCTAAAAATTTTTTCATTACCAACTTCAAAAATATTTTCCTCCTATATGATTTAATAACATACACTTCATAATTTGCATTGCTTTTTTATTTAGTCCTGGACAAAGCTAAGACTCATCTTGAGATTGATAGTCTCAATAGGGTAGAGTTGATTCATGGAGGAGGCATAGGCATCTTATCATAAGTTGAGGTCTTGAAAATGAATAGAAAATGAAAATAAAATACTGTAAAAGTGACCACAGGGAATGATAAGATTGATGACATGGAAGCTTGTGGCTATGTTAACACAACACTTGATTGAGCAGACATAGCATATATATATACACACACACACACACACAGACATACACACATACACATACACACACACACATGTGTGTGTGTATGTGTATGTGTGTGGGTGTATATATATATTTATTTATTTTTGAGACAGACTCTTGCTCTTGTCGCCCAGGCTGGAGTACAGTGGCGTGATCTCAGCTCACTACAACCTCTGCCTCCCGAGTTCAAGTGATCCTCCTGCCTCAGCCTCCTGAGTAGCTGGGACTACAGGCACCCACCACCACACCTGGCTATTTTTTTGTATTTTTAGTAGAGACGGGGTTTCACCATGTTGGCCAGGCTGGTCTTGAACTCCTGATCTCAGGAGATCTGCCCACCATGGCCTCCCAAAGTGCTGGAATTACAGGCATAAGCCACCATGCCTGCCCCAGACATAGCAATATTTTAACACTTAACAAAGGACTATCAATAAATGTGTATTCACAGAGAGGAGAAATCTGACTTGAAAACACTTGGGGGGGATTTGTAAAAACTGAATGACCATCTTATTCTGCAAGTTTGCCTAAGTGGAATTTCTTGTGATGGAGGTTAGTTTCATAGAATTTGGATGTGATTATGCTAAAAATACAAACTTGTCTTTAACTTCTACACATCCTAGTATGTGATTTAATTTTATTTTTGTATTTTTCCTATAACTCTTCCCATAGCCTGCTTCACTTCCATGTTCTTCAGGCTGTAAATGAAAGGATTCAGCATAGGGTTGATGACCTCATAGAACAAGGAGATCAGTTTGTCTCCCTCTGCTGAGTAAAGAGACTTGGGCCTCATGTATCTGATTAATCCTGTTCCATAATATATGGTCACCACAGTCAGATGGGAAGTGCAGGTTGAAAAGGCTTTTTTCCTGCCCTCAACTGAGTCTATTCTCATCACAGCCACCAGGATGCGCAGGTAGGAGAGAATAATGAGCAGGAAGGGGAGTAACACTGTTCCAGCCCCTCCTGCAAGCATCATGGCCTCCTGCAGGGATGTATCTGCATAGAACATGTGAAGAAGGATGGGCAGTTCACAGAAAATATAGTCAACAACATAAGGACCACAGAGTGGGAGGATTGTGAAGAACAGAGGAACCACTGAAGCAAAAAAGCCTGTGGTCCAGGCTCCCAGAGCCAGTGCCACACACACAGACGTGTTCATGATGAGCAGATATCTCAGTGGGAAACAAATGGCCACATAGCGGTCCAGTGCCATCACTGCAAGAAGAAAGCACTCAGTCACCTCCAGGAATAAGGTGCTGTAGGTCTGAGCGAGGCAGAAGTTGTAAGAGATGACTTTCCTGGTTGCAAGGAAGTTATAGAGCATCTTGGGGACCACGATTGTGCTAAAAAATATGTTGAGAAAGGCCAGGTGACAAAGGAAGATATACATGGGTGTCTGGAGAGAGGAATGCAGAACTACCAAAGTGATGACAGCTGTGTTTCCAAAACAATTTGCTAAGTAGGCCAGAGAGAACAGGAAGAAGAGGGGTGTCTCACTTTGGGGATGATTGGAAAATCCCACAAGGACCAGCTCAGTGACGGTGCTGGAATTCTTATGTCCCATTTTGGCCAGCGAAACATGCCTGTTCAAATGGGAGCAAGGAGAAAATAAAAATGGTCTTATATAAAAATTCTGAGGTCAAATCAATTCTCTTTCACAGCAACTTTAATGCTGATGATAAATGTATCTTAAATTGGAATAAAAATTATTTGTGAAATTTCAGTGGACATGAAGAACAACTTCAAATCATAGTTCTCATCATATGGTTACTTATTTTTGATAAATTACAAAAGAACTTTTTGTTTAAAGGTGAAAATTTCACCCTTATATCGCATGTACTACAGAGCACTCCTCTATATTTGGCTAATCAAATGCTATTATCCATTTCTTAAAAAAGAGCTACAGGTCCTATCAAAGAAAATGACTTCTCTAACATCATGAGCAGAAAATGTGCAGGTTGAAAATCATTCCGTTCTTCTCCTACTACATTAAAAGTCAGAAATGATACTAGTTTCCATTTAGTGAGAAAAGGGGTTGATTTTTTTTCCTTTCTGATTCCTAAGGAGTATAAATTATCATCTCATATCGGAATAATACACCTAATTTAATTGCTTAGACTATTTTAACTCCCTCAATATTAGTAAAAATAATATGGTTAATCCTCTAAACGTTTGAGAGTCCAAATGTCTAGTAGTGGTCTTAGAGAAGATAACATATTGGTCCCAAAACCAAGCTTTTTGACCATTTTAAGCACAGTGTGAAACTGCTTTTATGGGCTTATGACTCATACATGTACATCTACAGCGATACGCTTCCTGTACTCCACAAAATCTGAGTGAAACATACCAGCCTGTGCTGAAATGGAAGATGTGGGTTAGTTGTACAAAGTGCAGACTGTCTTACACAACACACATTATCAAATGTCAGCTGCGACAAACAAAACGACACAACATTAAGCAAAAACAAAACAAAACCGATGCTTAGGAGAACATTTTTAGACACAGGGGAATATAACATGTAAAACACAGAGCCTGGGGGTCACATAGACTCAGTGAAACTCCCTGTACCCTACACCTTTCCTTTCTCCACGCTCTCACATTTCCAGTGCTTTCTCTTTTTTCTGCTTTAAAATTTCCTGTCTGGGGGTCACTTTCTTATTGGCATCTATGTAAAGGATTCTTCTAGATCTTGCTCTGACTCTCTACTTAGCTTTCTCTCCTGTCTGCCCAGACGGAACTACTGAGCCAGCAGGCCACATGACACAGCAACAAGGTAGTGGGGGTGGAGAGAGAGAAACAGAAAGAGAGTGGGAGACACACAGAGAGAAACAGAAAGACAGAGAGAGAGTGTGTGTGTGAATCTCAGTTCTGCGACAGGGAAGGGAGTCAGTTTAGGGAGAGGAGAGCAGCTGACATACTTGCCCAGTCTTTGGATGTAGGAAACCTGTTCATCCACAGTCAGTGCTGGCACCTGATAAGTGAATTTTCCTGGAAAGGGTGAAACTATCAAATCTTCACCTCTAAAGGAGATGCATGGGAAGCACAGCCGCTGGTCAGCCCCTGGAGCTCATCATCTTTTCTTGGCAGTGTGCTCCTCAGCTCCATGGAAGTTCTGTTAAGAAGAATGAGACAGCTATAGCTATTAACATGCACAACCTGTTCCCTGATTTTACATGATTAATTTTAGTATAGAAGTTGTCCACATTCTCTTTATGCTTTTCCTTATTTATCCCAACTTTATATTACATTTAGGGGATTGAAATGGAGGGTAAAATTATTTTCCAGTCATTATAAATCGAGAGTAGAGGCTTCAGTGAGTTGAGTAAAGTCTATTAGCAGGGGCAAAATTTTGAGTTGATCCCAAAGGGAACCAGTTAACTTCACGCAAAAAAAAAGAAAAACAATTTATGTTCCACTTACTGCTGATGGCAGATAGCTCATTAATGCAGTTTATAATTTACTATTTGGGGTGCTATCTGTTAACTCTATTGTTTCTCTGAAAGAAACAGCTCAATTTGGAAGTTCTAAAAGTAATGTGTTAAGAACATCATATTTTTATAAAACATACACATTTTCTTAGCTGGAAAGTTAAGTGTTTTTGGCTGGGTGCAGTGGCTGACACCTGTGATCCCAGCACTTTGGGAGGCTGGGGCAGGGAGATCACTTGAGCTCAGGAATTTGAAATCAGCCTGGGCAACATAGGAAGACCCCAGTCTCTACGAAAATACAAAAATTAGCTGGACACAAGCCTGTGGTCCCAGCTACTCAGGAGGCCAAGGTGGGAGGATTGTTGGAACCTGGGAAAGGGAGGTTACAGTGAGCTGAGATTGCACCACTGCATTCAATCTGAGAGACAGAGCGAGACTGTCTCACATACATACATACATACATACATATATACATCATACATACATACATACATACCAGCCTGAGCAACATAGCAAAAACTGGTCTCTACCAAAATTACAAAACTTAGCAGGATGTGGTGGCACGTGCCTGTAGCCCCAGCTTCTCTGGAGGGTGAGATGAGAGAATGGTTTGAGCCCTGGAGTGGAGGTTGCAGTGAACCAAGATCATGCCACTGCACTCCATCCTGGGCAACAGAGCCAGATGCCATCTCAAAAAATAAATAAATGAATTTAAATAAATAAATAAATAAAATAAGAATAAACCACCAAGTACTAAGTGTTTAGTGGAACAGTCAGTCTCCTGGTCCCAGGCTTAGACTCCCTCGTTTCCATTGTGCAACACCACTGTTTCCCTTTGGCAGTCAGCATCCAGCCCTCTGACCGGTACTGTGTCTGGTTCTCTACACGTGGAACAATATTGAGACACTTGTTCTCTATTCATGGATCAATAAATGTAATATTGAGAGAGGCCGCCCCACACTCTACATTGCTTTCTAAATTTGGGTAGTCTGACTCAGGGGAAATGCCACCATGTATCGGTCTCTAGTTTAAAGCATCTACTCTATCACGTACATCATCCAAGCATCACTGCAGGATGTGCCCCAGCCTTCAGCTCGCCATTCCCCCTTTCTGCCACGCTGCCTGCTACCGGATGATGGGGCAGTGCTGGTGAATTCCATGGTGTGAGCCCATCGCCATGTTTTCAACTACGTAAAATTAGTTACTCTGCCAAAAGGCAATCTGTGGTCTGCCACAAAGGTAGATATGGAACTTCAGTGATCATGCAAATGATGGCAGTGATAGCCTGACTCATGAGGAACAATCGCTGATCTTTCTGTGGCGAGCTGGTACAGCCAGGGAACTATGCCACTTCAGCGGCTCTTCTTCAGACTTTGCTCTTGGTTGGTTGACTATGCAAGTGGTAATAGAAAGAAAAGCTATTTTTATTTTGAATCCAGGCATGGGTATTATCATTGCCCCATAGCTACTATTCAATGTGCTTGTTGAACAAATGCAATGCAATCTAAGTAGCTCAGTCCCAGTGGATAAAACGTGACATAAATAGACCTGGAGGCCGGGTGTGGTGGCTCACACCTGTAATCCCAGCACACTGGGAGGCCAGGACAGGAGGATCCCATGAGGCCAAGAGCTTGAGACCAGCCTGGTCAAAATACCATGGCCCTGTCTCAAAACAAAACAAAACAAAACAAAATGTTAATGTCTGGGGAGGAAAGCTTAAAAAAAAAAAAAAAAGTCAGCTGGGCGCAGTGGCTCACATCTGTAATCCCAGCACTTTGGGAGGCCAAGGCAGGCAGATCACCTGAAGTCAAGAGTTTGAGATCAGCCTGACCAGCATGGTGAAATCCCATCTCTACTGAAAATACAAAATTAGCCAGGCATGGTGGCAGGTGCCCATAATCCCAGCTACTTGGGAGGCTGAGGCAGGAGAATCGCTTGAACCCAGGAGGTGGAGGTTGCAGTGAGCCAAGATTGCATCATTGCACTCCAGTGGAGGAGACAGAGAGAGATTCTGTCTCAAAAATGAAAAGAAAAAGAGAAGAAAAGAAACAATCATCACAGACATTAAGAATTAGAGTTAACTAAAAAAAAAAAAAAAACTGTCCCTTTTGTTTATAATGAAGTTTGCATTTTTAATTTTTAGCACTGGAATTACATTAAATAGCATCATAAGACACCAAAAGCAAGCCTATAGAATTCCATTTAACTAGCAGAAATTTATAATGGTATTAATGCGGTTTTCTTATTCACAGGGAAATTCGGTACATGGTTTTTCTACCAATTGGTTGAGGGTGAGATGAAGGATGCCCCATGTTGTTCCAAGGTCTTAGATCCTTCCTCCAACACCATCAACATAGTTCATTAGATACATCTGTTATCCTACTGTAACCGTTAACAGTATATACCCTTTCATTTTCCAGAGTATCTCAGAAGGAAAATGATGCTATGTTAACCTTACCCATGAGCCACTTCCTGATAATAGTTACATGATTCTAGGCAGGCACCAGGTCAAGGTGAGCATGTCTCTGCTGGGTGCAGGGATCTTCCACAGGGAGAGTCAGCTGACCTAAGCCAGTCACATCAGATTCCTTCCCTCTACTTTTTAAAACAAAGCTTAGAGTCAGTCAATTTCCCTTTGATGGCAGCATTCATTTGTGACGTATTAATATCAAATCTATGGCTGGAAGTATTTCCCCCTCAAAGGATGGAAAACTCTTTTACTTCAGAGAGAACACAGCCAACGAGCAGAGAGAAGTAGACGTTAGTGATCCCAGGGAAAGGCCTGGAGCCCTTTGAGTGTTAGTCAGCCTGGACGCCTGTATTTTGCTTGATGAAACTCTCACAGAATTCTCAGCCCTCAAAATTCTCCCTGAGTGCCCTACTCCTAAGGATTGAGTTTTTGCCAGTTGTGACCAAACCATTCAAAATTTGATCCCTAAAATCAATGTACTGCAAGTAATAGACCCAAAACTATGGAACTATCAAGATTATGCCATAAGACAGTGAAGATTTATTGCAGACTGAACAACTGGCCACATTTATAATGCAGGTGTACCACAGTTGGCTAAGTTAACATCTGTTGTTTCTTGTTCATCTTTCTTATTGACAGGGAAATTTGACAGGGAAATGTTGTATC